TTCGAGGCGTCCGTGGGTGCGGTGGTAATGGTTAAAACCTTCACATATCTCGTGATTGGGTTTTTAGGAGTGGTCGTGCTGTTGACGGTTTACTTGTTGTGTGCGTATCGAAACCGCATACTCCATCTTCCATACAGTCCCAATTCGATTGCCTCGATCCTTGGACTTGCGCGCCATCAAATGGAGCCGTTCTCTGTCTTTCGGTCTCTTGGATCTGCGGATGATGTTGTTTTCAAAAGGAGGCTCAAGGATGAACATTTCATGCTTCAAGTGCACGACCACGAGACTTGTTTAACCTCGAGTTTCCGAGCAGAAGCCCAGGATAGGGAATCGGTGGTTGAGGAGTCCGGTGTCGCTGATGCGAAACCTTGGCCATGGGAACTCCGTCGAGTTGTTGGGCTTATTTTTATTTTCATGCTGACTGGCATCATCGCTGCAGTTTGTGCACTGCGAGGCTTAATTCAACGCAACAATGGTGGGTAGATGGCATTGAATCTTCCAGGGCTCCTGCTAACACCGACGGCTAAAACAGGGCTCCCTTTGCCTTCCGGAAGCACCTTCCTCCAGCAGATCCTGCTCAACTTTATCCCCACCGCGCTCGGAACTCTCATGGAACCGTTCTGGACTGTCTTGAACAGGCTTCTCTGCATCATTCAGCCATTTATTGAACTGAATACAGGAGCAACCTCCGCTTCACAATCAATTTTGCTGGAGTATACGTCTGTCCCGCCTCAGTTGGTGATCTGGCGGGCGCTCAAGGCGAAGCATCTGCTTTTGGCTGCGGTATGTGCAGTAGCAGTTGCAGCAAATGTCTTGACAGTCGGCTTTAGCGGCCTTTTTGAAATAAGAAGTACCAATCTAGGAAATCTCATCTCGGTTGAGCAGACTGTGCTCCCGCAACTCGCACAGCCCAACGACACGGGTGTCTCTGGCAACCTGGGAGAGCCCCTGCAAATAATGCTCGCAAATGTTTCGCAAAACGTTGCTCTGGTCCCGTGGGTCTCTCCTGAATACTACTTTCTTCCAGTTTCGCTGCCAGCAAACACTTCAGTATCAACCTATGAGTTGTCGACCATCGGAATAGGTTCGCAACTGGACTGCCAGGAACTAAAAGAGTCGAATTCAGACTTTCTGTACCGTTTCATTTTGAGCCACGACGCTATGGAGGCGAACTTTACCGTTTTCCAGAAGTTGTCCGACGGTTCTCAGATCCGCTGTTTCTACCCGGTCGCCTTCACTGGTGATAACGATCCAGCGCCGTCGGAGGCGACTCAAATTTACCTTCGGGGTAATCCTGAAGGCAGGCAGGGCGTGGAAATGTTCATACAGCCAATTCCAGTGAAATCACGGCGACTCCACAGGAAAAATATGCGTGCCCACGAATGCTCATTGCAGGTTGGGTACGGTCTTCAATCACTCTTGGTGATAAATACTCCAACACCTTATATGGTCCAACGCGAAACGTCACTAGTTCGACACTCAATTCGACTTTCATGATGTGCAAGCCTCGTTTCCAGACTGCAAATTTCAGCGTGGTCACAGACCAGAGTGGACATGTCCTCAATTACACTCAGCTCGGGCCCTTGAGTGAAGAAGTCGAGGAACATCTGGCATCGGCGGTATGGAATGCCACGATGTTCCTAGTAGGCCAAGGGTCGGATACTCTTAGATGGCATAATGACACCATTGCCTCCGATTGGTTTAATGTGTTCTTGAAAAAGGTTTCGCGGTCAACCTCCATCATTGACCCCCTAACTCCTCCACCAGATTTCGCGACGACAGCTGATCTGGTAAGCCAAGTCTACCAGCAGCTCTTCGCAATCGTCCTGCAGGACAATCAAAAATATCTCATGCCGGCTCCTCCAGGATCCTTAATCATTGCCAATGAAATCGGTACGCAACAGAGGGTCTTCGTTTCCGATACTATGGTTTATATCGTCATCGTGATCCTAGCGTTAGATACGACCGTTGCCATAGTGCTCTACTCTCGACTCCCCAAACCTTTTCTCCATCGGATGCCGACGACTATCGCTGGGCTCCTCGCATATAGTACGGGCAGTCACCTGGCGCAGGATCTGGATATCCAAATGGCAGCTACCGCCGGTCGAAGTGGGATGCAAGAAGCTCTCAAGAAAAGGGGCAGCGTGTACGGATTTGGCAGATATATCGGCACAGATGGGGAAATCCACTTCGGCATTGATCGCCAGCCTTATCTCATTCCCCTGCGAGTTCAAGATTTGCCAAAGTGGTGGCAGCTGGTGACAAAAACCCCACTTTTCTTTAAGAAGCGGTCTTCACAATCCGATATGATTTAGAGTACACATTGTCGAAGCAAACGATAAAGATGATCTATTACGACTAAATACTAAAGCTCCTAGTTGATAAAACCAAAGACGACTAGGAAGATGATAATCACAGGAATAGACTGATTATCAGTCAGATCCTTGGGGGATTGATCAGTTCTCATTCTCTTTATCTCGGATGACCGTTTGCTTTACGGGTGGGACGATTTTGACACTGCGCTGACACATGCAAATCGACTACTATCCAGAAACAGCATCGCTTGCTGTCCCTACATTTAATGTGAGACAGCCTGACTCCGCAACGCATTACGAGTTCTACCTACGCAAGGATTTCATGAAGTACTTCAGTTTGGAGCAGGTCGCTTTTTTTTTTGATCCAAGAAGTTTGTTTTGTTTCAAGACGGTGGCCGAGCCGAACTTCTAGGATACATGTCAACATGCATGTGCAAGGCACGCTTTGCAAATCCTAGGAAAGACATCTTTCAAGAAAGTTGAAAATTTACATGAAATGAAAGGACAAAAGGGATACCAATAATCAAACCCACTGCAGTCATGCAGTTGGGCGCAAAAGAAGGAATGAATCACTTTCTCAGAACAGCACACCGACCCGCGGATAGAGCTGATCAGTTCTGAAGCTGGCTCGGAAGGTGAATGCGTCTCCGGTGCAGATGTGACACACTCGCGTCACGCTTCGTTGCAGCAATCTTAAGCTCGGTAGACTGGCCAGTCGTGCAAGCGGTTCCTTCGGCGAGTGACTCGACAGCAGACCAGACACCGCTGGCACAACGCTGGAAAGAGTTGCCTCCGATGCAGTTCCATTGGCCATCGGGGCTGCAAGGACCGCTGAGGGCGCCACTGCTGGACGAGGAGCCAGAGCTGGACGGGGTGCCCGAGGCACTGGGCGAAGCAGCAGAGCTGGAGGAGGGGGTGTTAGGCGACGCAGAAGTGGATGCAGCGGAGGGAGCAGCGATGGATGAAGCGCTGGTCGCGAACACACCGGGCGCTGCAGTCACAGTGGGCTGAATCCCGGCAGATACAGACACAGACACGATGGGAGTTGAAGAGGAGGCTGCAGGGGTGGAAGCCGCAGAGGAGGTGGCCGCAGGGGAGGTGCCAGCCGGAGCGCTACCACTTGGACCAGGGCCCGGACCGCCAGTGCAAGCAGGCTGACCCACAGGCTGGAGGTTGGAAGGGTCTCCATCGTATTCAACAGAGTCGCCAGGGTCCGGGAAGCGAATGTCAACGCCTTCCTTGGTCATGCAACCATTGATGTTGGCGACGAAGAGATCTGGGAAGTTGGTACGCTTAGAAAGGGAGGTCGACTGCTTCTCCTCGGTCGCATCGCGCTTGTTGCTGGGAGTTGAGCTTGCGGGCAGGACGTTGACTGGAGCACAGTTCATGTACATCTCACGGTTCCCAATTCGGTTGAACCAGGTCCAAGCCAGCGTGTAGCGACCTGGCTCAATGCCTTCGGGAATTTTGAACTGAAAGGTGCTTGCACCCGTGCTCATGGGACCACCATCCAGGTTACCGGGAACATTTGCAGGGCAGCCTCCTTCAATGGAATGAATGACCATCCATTTGGAATCCTTGGTAGGCTCCGCATCAGTCGTCAAACTGATCTGACAGGATCCACCACCGTGGGTGGCGCTCCCGTAGAAGTCGAGGGGATTGTTCTCGCCGATTGTCATGTTGTTCATCTCGGTAATGTCGTACACGCCCTTCCGCAGCTTGCAAGGGAAGTCTGAGCCATCAGCGGCCAAGGGAGAATTGTTGAGAGTGCTGACACCATATGGAATCGGGTTTCTCATGATCATATGGCCACTGACGGCGGACGCCGACAGCAAGGCTGCCGCGAGAGACGAGACGGAGAAGAGCATCGTGGAAGATTTCGCACACGTTCGACTTTCAAAAGAAGGTGCTTCTGTTTCGCTTTGGGTGTCTGACGCGTTCCGGACGTATCAGACGGGAAAGATTGGACGTTTGAAGACGGAGACGGAGACCTTGGCTGTTGAGAAGTTAGCAAGGATGGTTCAGCATGAAGATTGTTTGTCCTGAAAGGATATAACATGGCAGGTACTGCAAGACCGTGTGCCGTTGTCTGAGTTTCAGGGAGACATAGCCCAAAGAGGACAAACACGAAATGGAGAGAGGGCACTGCCAGGAAACAACAAAAGAGATCCTGTCATTACCTTTTGGACGTTGAAAGGAGGCGATCAAAGCTCTTGTTTTGGATTCAAACGTCACAAAAGTGGTGCTTTAAGGAACGAAGAGTCTGCCTCAGGCAGGACAAGCTGATGAAGAAAGGAAGGACAGGAATTGGCCTGCAAGAAGGAACGAAAAGGAAAGCCGAACTGTGAGCTGAAATCCGCCGAACCAGCGTGGGGAGGAAAAGAAGAGAGATGGGGGCACAGGAAGAGATGGGGTGTTTATATGGACTGGAAGGGGGGTAGGGCCGGCCGTTGTTTCAACCGAACTTGGCAGTAGAATTCACTACGGTCTACTCCATACAGGCGATTTACCACATGGGGGAACATGGTGGAGACCTGCAGAGCATTGACGCGAGAATTTTGTTCCTGGAAACATTTGTTCAATCGTTGGCAGCAGCCCCCGCTAAGATGGGACAGGTTACAGCGACTCAGACGACCGACAGCAACATGGATTGGACGAGTGAAGCGTGTGGCAAGAGGCCTGTTCGGGAAATACAAGTAACGTTTGGGCCAGCACCATGCACGGCACACGGAGAATACCGCCGTGGCGAACCATACAGAGACCACGACAGAGGCGGCGATCAGTGGAGGCAGGACGTTCTCCACAGCTGTTTCAGCGCGAGAGAAACAGATTTTCTCGAGAGTTTGAGCTTGTTGTTCAGTGCCTGACGGCTGAGGGGGAAAACCGATGGATTGGCGGGCATGAACAGGGCACAAAAGTTAATTTAGTCGCCGGCAGTTTCATTCGCCTGATTTGCGGAGACGCGTCCGCCCAATTTCCTTGCATTGATATCATCAAATGCCTCCATGGAGTACGAGCTACTCTGTAGGGAAAACAGCCGAAGAAGTGTCTTTACCGAATCCTTGCTTGAAGTTAGCCATCAGTAAGGGAGGTTTTTGCGAATTTCCTCGAATTTTCATTCCTTCTACAGAGCACTGCAGTCTCATGTACTGCGTGGCTGGATCAGGCAGTTTCTTCACCGCGGTTGTCGGCGATGAAGTGTGCAGGCGGAACCGTCCAATCGGGCCGGACCCCCTGGCAGTGGGGCTTAGCCGCAGATTCGTCCCTCTCGGAGATGGCGGACGACGCACGCTGATTGGACGGTCGCCAGATCTGCCCAGCCCCATGTCAGCTGAGATCGGCTGGGATTTGCCTGCCGGCGCCTATCGTGCGACCTAGCGCTGTCCCAGCCTGCAGGCGTGACTTGTCGAGGACAGGTGGCCGCCCTGTTGTCTTGCTCAGATCTTCGGTGCAAGGTCGCCAGTCGGAGGGCTCCGTCCAGGTCGTGATTCATTTTGCTGCCCTGACTTGTCCAGTCCATCATTTCCACATTGGTGCACTGCAGCCTGCGCTGGTGACTTGTCCAGCCAGCAGCGCCTTGGAACACGACACATCACAGCGACAGCTCAATCATCACGTAGAACTCGATATCCATGTGATGATTTGACACAACAACTATTATATGTCAGAACCGCATAGATAGCATGGTGAAAATAAAATTTCCTGCCTACCGCCTTATATCCCCACAGGATCAGTTAGCAGTGCGCCACAGAACTAAGGTTATTCTATCACCATCGTTAAGTTAGTAATTATGTCCTCGAACACGTCGTACCGCATACAGTACAGAGAACAGCATATCGTGATACAGCTCCCTCATCTGTATGAGAATTAATTAACCAGGCGTCTGATTTACTACCAGTTCACAACAAAAATTCATGTCGTACAGATCTGTGTAACAGTACTCCGTAAGGATTTTCTTACCCTTATCTATCGCCTGCCTTATCGATAAGGCGATGAAGATTAGTCACCCCACGGAGTAGTTAACTAGTTATAGTTAGTTATAAAACCCGATGATGGGTACTCCGTATTTTACCGGTAAAAAACAGTAATAAAACAAAGTTAAAACAGAACAGATGATGGAAGTGAAGCATTAGCGCCGTTTCAGGTTTTGATTACCAGGTGCCTGGGATGAATCAGAATCAGCATCAGAATTATGAACTTAGGTACTTTAGGTAGGTTATTCATCCCTTTCAAGGCTCGCGATCAGTCGCGTGGCACTACTACCAGGGCACTTTCACCGCTTTCCTTTTTCGCTCCTGCCGGTCAGCACTTCCACAAGTCCAGCGTATCGAATAGAATTAACTTAGGTACTGTACAGTACATATGTGCCCTATTATTGCTAATTCGTCGCCATCGATAGGTTAGGAGTTTCAGATTTTTTTTTTCGCCTTATGAATATTAACTACTCGACGGCCAACTTGGGATATTCAGATGACGTGTTTGAAACTGAGTAGCAGAAGCAAAAGCAAAAAAGCAAAAAGGCGGGTTTTAATTGATATTTGCTGACTGACTTGTTTGTTTGTTGGGTACCTACCTACCTACCTACATAGAGTCTAGAGGAAATGAGAAAGAAAAATCTTCAGAGTCATCTATCTACCCTAGGCACATATTTGTGTCGCCGTTGGTGTCCAACAACGTTAGGTAGGTAAGTAAGAAAAGGGGAAGAAATCAGGAGCAGTATCCTTACCTCCTCTTCTTGGCAGTTTCATATACAGAGTAGTAATAATATTAATATATGCCAGAAGGAATGAAACTGTGACAGCTTAATTAATTAATTGATAATTAAAATTGTTTAAAATTTATTAACAGTGGTCGGCTTGGCTTTATAGACATTATTAACTTGTGGCTCGTTGGATAAATTAACGCTCTGTACGGAGTAAGATAGGAGACGATCCAGAGCGTAGAAATATCGATGCAATCTGCTTTCAGCGTCCCGATCGATGCGAAGTTGGCCATAAAGTTGCTCCTGCAGTCGGCAAAATTGGCGACGAAGAAAGCGATACCCCAGGCCACGACAAAGGCGATCGTGACTCAGCTGATGATTATGAATGACCGGCTAACGAAGAAAATCCGGTGGTAAAAGAATATGATGAAGAGCTTGATCGTGGTCAGCGCCAGCATATGCAGACCGCTCATGGCAATTTTCAGCTGTATGTAGTATGGCGGTCAGCAGAAACCAAATTCATAGTATGAGGGACGTACTCGCCAGAACAGCTGCTGATCCCAGCCATCGTAGGTCGTCATTTCTGCAGGTTGCATCGGGCGCGACTGCGACCCCAGGGTGCCGGTTGCATGTCCTGGAGAGAAAGGGTGAGATGTAAATTTCTCCCTGGTGAGAGGCAGCTAGCTACCTATGATCCATGTGATGTTGATGCCGAGAACCAACAACTGCTGATTGTGAGTGAGGTGTTTCTCTTTCAGATGGATGGAACTGACCAAGGCAGGAAGACAGAGCCAGTCGTCGATTTTGAGATTATGTCTCTTCTGCAATCGAACCTTGAAGCGAGCAGCAACAGCAGTGATACTCAGGACTATAAACAAGATGCTGACGGCGAGCGTACTGCCTCGGTTGACATAATACATTCTCACAGGCCGGTCGAAGTCGTCGAAGGAACTTGATGAGATCGTGAGACTGACATCCCATATCGAAAGAAGTTGTCGAACGAAGGAAAGGCGATCTTCGAGAAAAGAGTCAGCTCCAAAGGGCCTCGGTGTTGCTTGTCAGCCGTTGTGTAACCACTATATTACTCCGGAGTATACGACACTCCCACTGCACGTGAAGTCTGCCCATCCACATGTTATACTCCGCTGGACAACTTGATATACGACCTCCTTCCCAAAAAGGAAATGACAACAACATCACATTAAGAGGAAGGACAAGGGGGGAGGTGACAAATAAAAAAAAGCTTCTGATAAATAAAAAAAAGCCTCTGATAAGAGGGTGCCGTCCCTCCCGCAGCACCCCCGCAGCTTGTTAGGTAACTGGGACTTTTATGTTTTTGGAGCCCTGAGGGATCGAACGCGTGGTGTTTTTGTTTTTGTTTTCTTGACAGTCTGTTTACCAGTCCTGCTACAGGTGCAGACCTAACCTCTCCACCATTACGCCCTACGTTCGTTGACAGGTAGAGGGAAAAAGGCATTATATGTGCCTTTGGGCTAAGGGGTGATTGGCCCAGGCTGCCTAGTCAGCAGACAGGAAGGGTGCAACAAGTGCAAAGGTGACAGATGATGCAAGAGAGACAAATGGTCAGGTGTTTGTTCGCTGCTACCAGCATGCTAACGGACAGACGCCAGATGAAATATTTACTCTTCGCCCCCAAAATGCGTGGCACATATGTTAAGACAGTTTTGTCCTGGTAGAGCTGAGAAACTAGAGTTTCACAGCAGTCGGAAGTGCATTCGAGGACGGTTCCATGCTACCTAAGTTAGATGTGCTTGCTGCTTTCAGAGGGCTCAGCAGAAAGCACCAACAATTCTGGTCCCCTGCTCTGGACTTCACCTGGTTGGTTTCTCTCTATAATCTCTAAATCTCCAACCTAATATCTTATCTAAGTCTTCTCTATACTGGAATCTGCTTAACGGTGGCAAAGGTTCAATGCAAAATTTTGGGATATAGGGTTATTTCGTCCGACCAGTTCAGAGCTCGACGTACGAACAGGCACTAACGCTCTAGACAGTTTGTTACGAGCTTAATATTTTAGTCAAACGGAGGAAGAAAAGAAAAAGAGATTCTGACCTCGCTGATTGAATTCATCGAGAAGGTAAGTAACTAAGATTACACAAGAAGTCTAATTAAGGTATATGCTACATACCTCTAGTCCCAACTCGCATCTGGAGGCTGGTCCATTCATTTGGTATTAAAAAAAGGCTGTGTATTTTGCCTTATCCACTTCTTCCAATATCTAGTCCTAATGGACATCATGTATTTCCAAGCCTTTGGCTACTGAATTATAATATATCCTAATATAAATCAGAAATATCAGTGGAAGTGGTTAAATGGTCATAAGGAACTCAACTAGGCCGTATTTCTTCCATTGTATTCTTGTCTTAGTTAAACATGCATTAGTTGAGCCGGTTAGAGGGTCAATATAAAACACACTCCCTGTTGCTTCAGTGACAGCACAACTAATTGTATTAGACAGATCTTGTACGTATAGCTTGGTCTCTTGTGAATTTTTGCTCCTCGGCTGGCTGGCTGGTTGATTTGGGGAGTCTGATCCGGAGGGTCAGACACTTGTTGAACATGATATGCTTTGGAATTTTTTTTCCTGAAGAAAAAGGACGAACTATCACTTCTGACACTTATAGGGATATAAGTGAAGTTTGCTAGCATTAGGCAGTCACTTGAAGCAGGCCAATAAGCTAATTAGGCATAGCATGGACTTCCTCGTGGAATGAAAACTCTCTTGCGATTTCCTTAGATTTAGTTCTGATAACCGGGATGACCCTAGTCTTATACATATCTTTTCCATGAATTCAACAAGTGAAGTCAGAATCTCTGTTCCCCCCCCCCTCCCCCGCCCGGAGGCTAAAGCAGAAAGTAACTTGGGCAATCTATTCTACTGCTGCATGGCTTCAGAGTCTACTGTATGTGAATAATATTTATCCATTGGCAGAAAAGAATACCCCAATTCTGCAATGAAACGATTAACTCTAGACCAATTGCCCTACTCTATCCCCAATGTCGCATTCCTTCATCATTCAATCTTCATATCGTCTATCCTATCTCCTCCCTACCCCATAACCCCCACTATGGCCGCAACCACTGTCGCCAACACTGCAGCAAACACAGCCGCAGGCCACATTAGCGTCCCCAGCATCGCCATACTAGTCAATGTGGCAAAGATGCCTCCCGCGGGAGTGAAGCCGCCATACATGAGAGATTGGAAGGCTGCGGCTAGGGAGCCTGTCACTCGAAAGAGAATAGGAATATGCTTGTTAGCCAAGGTTAAGCAGGAAGGCAGGAAGGGGGTTGCATCTTTTTTTTGTTGGGGGGTTAGTTTCAACCATACCAGCAACAATCCCCGCGGGCCCAAAACCCAGAGAGAGAATGAAGAACATGACGACGGTAAACGTTATAGCCCATGCGATTATGATGGCGAGGATGTCTAAGCAGAAGGAGTAATAGTAAGTATGACTTGAGCTTAGACCAACACATACAGAAAGAAAGAAAAAGGAGAAGATCTTACGAGGTTGAGCTACCCACTCCATCAACTCTGACCAGCGCTGCTCTATCCAGCTGGCTATTCCACTTCCATCTCCATCTCCTCTGTAGTAGGTACTAGGGTTGATATTGATGCTGCTGCTGATAAGTGACCATGCTGGAAAGCACTCCACGAGGAACTGGTTGATGGCTGCGGGGAGGCTGCCTGCGCGGGTGAAGTTGGTGCTTGCGAGGACGATGTTTGGGATGTGCATTGTGCCTTGTATTGTATCTTTTGTTGTGTGTGTGTGTGTGTGTGTGTGTGTTTGGAGTGGATGCTCCTGATTTTGGTGTCGAATGCTGCTGGCCTGGTCAGTGGACTGATCCAGATAGATTAGGTAGGTAGAAATAAATGGATGGTGAACAAGCGACGAGAGAGTAAGTAGGTATGTAGTGTAAGGAAATATATGGTTGTCTCGAAGAAAAGTCTCCTTTGAGGCAGCTGCTGGCTGACTTTCTTTCAGGCCAGGCGCGTCTGGTGAGAGCATAGATAATATTGCCCCTCTTCTGTCTTTTATTTAAAATAGGGCTTCTGTTCATGCACCACCCCCCAACAGGAAACAAGACTACAGCTAGAGCCAGTCGTAAGGCAAACTCGTTAACAAGCGACAAATTTATATTATACGGCGGCTAGAGGTCCAATCTGCATGCACAAATACCTACTTTGTAAACCAGCCAACCAACCAACCAACACAACACGTCTTATCATTAGGCTATGCAAGAAGCAGCTAATTTAGTAAAACACATTTTAGTTTTAGTATTTAAATAGCAGTGAAAAGCCTAACACTTAACTCTACATACGTAAATATATTTTCCTTGTTGTTCCCATCATAGGGCAGACAAGAAATCAGCCTCATAACTACCTGTATGTACATGCCTAGGAGTTAAACTCTGTAATTATTGTAAAATAAAATCCCAGCGCGGACGGGAGCAGGTAATACATATTACCACCCTGCATGGATCTCTCTTAGTCTATCAGATATGTGTATTGCGACCATTGGTTCCAAGTCGAGGTTCCAGTCCGGATTTGAATAGGTACTACCTAGGTAGACGGAGACGAGACTGCGAATCTGCGAATTTCTCTCGAGGAATATATATATACGTACTCGCATCAGCTTTCTGGCGTGATAGGGATTCATTTATCCATTGTGATGGTTTTGTTTCATTTTCAAGGCTGCGCTGCGCCTAGGTATGTATGTAGCTGGATGACGAGATGAGTAGATACTTTGTCCAAAGTCTATACAGCAGATTATGAAGGTATTCAGCCCAATCAGGGTAGCTGGCTACCTATGTATAGTGTATGGACAGTGATGGCGCGATCATATTCTATCTATCTACGTCATCTATCTATATACAGACCACAGTCTTAAAAAATAAGCAAGTTCGACCGGAAAAGGTCCTGAGAAAACGCCAGAAGTAAGATACCATATCGTGTTAAAGAGTTTCTCCTGCACTCATAACAGTGATGAATTCCTTGAACAAGAATTCTGGGGAGTCAGTTTGGAGGATATTTTCTGTGCTTTTTTCCCCTCCGATGTCTATAGTTTGTGGATCTCTGAGTAGGTGCAATGCCCAGCGGACTTGAGTTTCTTGCTGGACCAGCCAGCAGTTTCGTCCATGCTTCCTTCAAGATGTCCCTCACTCACAGCTTATTGTAGTATTTGTGCTTGACGGGCAGTCAACTTGGGTATTTGCCAGCTGGTTGCTTGCGGAATCTATGCCGTGAACCAGCCAGTTGAGTACGTCGACTGCCCATTAGCAATTGTGTAGTTATGACCGTTTGACGCTGGATCAATGCAACGACCGCTGCGGTCGTAGCAATTCCAGGAATGCCAGGCGATAAATCCAGCCTTGGCCGTCGACACTAGTCATCATTTCTTACCCTTCTTCTTCCCCTTGTCATTCCCCGATCCTTCTTTCACAAAACCTCCCTTCACTAGCGCGTCCCTCCCTACGTTGTTGATGATCCGGAACCGATCCGGCCCCAGCTTGATGCCGCCATACCACCGCGACACCACCACCACGACGTCCCACACGTCCATCAGCTGCATCAGATGTAGCAGCCGACCTCCCGCAGCTGTCTCGCCGTCGTCGTCGCAGTCTTGAACAATAGTCTCCGCAGACGGGTCCGACGACTTCTTCTCCCGGATGCGCCACGCGCTGATATTGTGCGTCGCAGCCGCCACCCTCTTGTCCGTCGCGATGAGATGGTCCAGGAACGCCTCCGCCTGCGCCAGACTCGTGACATGCGCCGCCCTACCAAGAAAGACGGATTTCTTCTCCGTGACGACGTCCGACAGTACCCAGTCGGGCGGACTATCGATGCCAAATGTGTCCCGAAAAGACAGCGTTGCAAGCGAGTCTGCGACGGCCTGGGCTGAGTCTCCTCCAGCTGCCTCCTGACCGTCTAGCTTAGAATCATCGTTCCCGTCCTGGACTTGCTTCGCGCCGCCGCCTATACTCAATTCCTGAAATTTCTCATTCGCTTCGTTGATAACTTCGAACAGACAGACCTGTCCCGGCTGATGTGTGCGTCGCACAATATCCTCCAGCACATCGACGGCGATTCTGCCCTCACCCCGCGACGCCGTCGACGCGGTGCCGATGACGCGAGGCGGAGTCTCGGGATACTGCGCATCGAAGCCGACAATGAAGGACAGCTGAGGGTGGTTCGGGATCTGCAGTTTCACCGTCGTCGTCACGCCAGACACCACACCCGAACTGCCCAGGTCCAGGGTGGGAGGGGCATTGCTCTCGGACGACGTGCTGGTCACGTCGTCGATCGTGGTCGGGTCGAAGATGGCATTGATGGCTTCGATTTCTTCGGCGAGCTCCCTGTTCCGTAGTGACTCGAGAGAAGACATTTCTTTCGACGGAGTTGGGCCAGCGGCAGTAACGATCTTTCGACCGACCGGCCCGTCGCGTGTCCGATGGAATTGAATTGAATTGAATTTTCAGTCTTTCCCGGACAGTTCCTTTAAAACCTCGGTAGTCGAGTACATTAATTTATTAAAAGGAAAACAAAACCATAGAGAATATATACAAACAAACGAAAAATATGCTATCTCGTGATGGGCATGAATGTCGAGGAAAATGATGATAAATCACTCGGTCGGGGAGTTCTCTCGACCGTCGGAAGAATTCCGATCACCCCACCACGCGTTGACCGCCTTCCTGATCAGGTATTTAGCAGCATCACGACATCGCAGTGTTGACAGAGGAAAAGAAGAGAAGGGGGTAAACAAAATTTCAACTGGTATTGTTGTGGAATTTCTTAGACTGTTGGATGGCAATTGTCCGCCGGTGGTGCTGTATACAACTTATTTCAAGGAGCTGTTCAGAGATATCTCGATAGAGAACTGTCAAGAGAAGAATTTCCTGAGGATAATTATTTATGCGATAATTTCTAGTCCCAATGCTGTTGTCAGATATCAAACTACCTAACTCTCTCTACTAGGAGTACATAGGAGCAAAAAAATTGTGAGACGCGAGGCTTTGTTGACCAGGAACCTGCCACACCCTGTGGGGCGATATCGGTTCCCAAAAAGGAAACAATAATAACCACACCTCACCTCATCTAACCACACCACAGCCCACTACACCTCCCACACACCACATAACAAAGTGAGATACTCATAAAAAAAAGTCGACGAAAAGCTCACACTAGGGGTCCTCCCTCCCGGGACCCGCAGGTGCTACGAAAACCCCCACCTAGCTTTTGGCGGGCAGGAGTTTTACTGATCACCAGTCTATATTTTTTTTTTTGGAAATTTGGGGTCCCAAGGACACAGAAGGATTCGAACCACAAACCCAGGGCCGTTCATCGGATTGTTAATTTGTGTAAGAGACTTTAGGCTACTTAACCACTGCACCATCGCGGCCTGGGTTTGTTGATAGGGACAGAGAGAAGTGGAGTTAATATGGGGCTTTGGTCTAAGAGGGGGGAGGGGTGGTTGGACGAGGGGAGGTATGTACATAGGGGGAGGTACCCTCTTTGCCTGCTGAGTCAGTGGGCTTTGTTTACGAGTCTGTCGACTCGTTGGCTACCTGAGATCTACTATTAACCTGTTATGCACCACTCCATTTACAGTCCTTTCGCACTCAATACCTGACACGACCTTTTGGATTAGATTAAGACAGTCTGTGTTAGATTATCATATTATCATATTATATAACAAAAATATCCAAGGTATGCTCTCGCATCGCGCATATGTCAAATATCCGAGACACTAAAGAGACAGGCTTGCGATATCCGGAAGAGGTTGCTCGAGTTCTTTGATGTCGTCGAAATCCTTCAGCTGCCAAAACGCCCGGAATCCAGCAACAAGATGCCGAGCAGTGTCAGCCACCTGGTCCGTTTCCATGGGCGCAAAGCACAGCCGGAAGTACTGGTACGCAGTCTCGTAGACCTCCTGCGTGGGAGCGAAAATCAGCCCCGGCGACACCAGGGACAAGAATGGTTTCTTCATCAGGAAATGCCACAGGGCGGTGCAGACCTTCTCTGGCCCGTACCTCAACAGCAGCGGGTGAGTGTCAACACGGATCTTGATCCACACAAACATGCCAGCCATCGGCCAGACAAAGTCGTACATGGGCACTTTGTTGATCACTTCCCACTCGCTTAATTCCTCATCTGTGCCTCGCTGTGCAGCGGACGCCCGATCGACAATAACATACTTGCCCTCTTCGAGGATGAGGCACATGTCTCTCATGCGGCGCTCATATTCTCCACGCAGGCCTTCAAGCCACCGGACCCAGCCGTCCATCTGCCAGCCAGCATCGCTGCTGGAACTGTTTTCATGGGACGTGCCCTGCTTTGCCTGGCCAAGGAGGACTTCTGCGACCAGCGCCTGGACAAAACCAGACGGCTGCTGGGTCGTTGACTCAGTGATCCGCAGGATTCTCTCGATAATGGCAGGCTGTGCAGTGACCCATCCCAGACGACAGCCTGGCGCAATAGTCTTGGAGAATGTATCCAGACGCACAACACGCCCGTCGGTGTCGATTGACAGATAGGACGGAACGAGGGAGTCCAGAAACTTGTATCCAGAGGACCGTCCATGCAAGTTATAATTACGTGTGAATAGATCCGGCACTGATTCCCCGCGGTACTGCGCGGCTAAACGACAGGCGGAAGGATACTGGAGATTCCAGTATGGCTCATCTTCGATGATGATAATGTCATACTTTTTGCAAAGCGCATATATCTCCTTGCGACGCTCCACAGACATGGTCGTCCCCGTCGGATTTTGACCCGTCCTGATAGCCAGTCAGGTTGATGTCATTTTTATCTGGTCAGGAACTCCACTCACGTTACAGTGTACATCAGGTGCGGCCGTCGTCCTCTGCTATAATCCCAATTTTCCAGCACGTCCGCCAACCCACCTGGCCCGGACGCCGTCATCCCCTGTTCATCGATCGCCACTGGCACTACATTGAGGCCCCGCGGTTTCACGGTCTGGATGGCCATCATGTACGCAAATTGCTCACAGAGGATGCCCTCTCTCTCATGAATCCAATCGCGCCCCTCGATCCATATGTTGCTGAACGTCTCGATGACTTTGGAGAATCCGTCGGTGGAGCCGCATGTCAAGATGACTTCCGGCCCATTGGCATATGGCACATTCGGATGGAGATGCTCGCGGGTGAATTGGCGGACGAAAGAGAGCAGCGGCGGATAACCCTCTGCGGTGCCATACTGCAACGCGGTGAGCAGGTCGATCTCTCGCTGAACGTTTTTCGTCTTGCTCTCCTTGGGCACTTTCACATGGTCCGCAGCCGGCTCGACGTTGTCCGAGGGATCGACTGGAGCGATGGGCGTCGGTTCGAAGCGATGCGGGTGTGCAACTGCGGCTTCGAGCGTGTCATAGGGAAAGTATGAGAAGTGCGGAAGGCCTGCTGGGTCAGCCACATCACAAACGTCCAGAGGAATCGCGTCTCACCTCCAGCCAAGTTGCGGATGCCCGGAATCTGGAAATACTTGTACAGGCCTTTGATGGAGCTCGCCTCGCGCTTTTTGGTCACATGGGAGAAGTGATGCGAGAGGTCCAACGGGGGCGGCAAGGCAGCTCCTTGCAGCGCAGGCAGCGGTTCTGATTCGGCAGCCATGGGGATCGGCGGAGCATCAATCTGCCAATGATCTAAGAATAGACGGGTAGCACAGTCATGCCACTGCTACAGGGCTTGTTTTCTGCGGGGGTAGGACAAGGGACGGAAAGGGAAATAGGGAAATAAAAATATACATATTGAAGGCACGAGGACAGCCTGGCGGAGGTTTTTCCTGGGGGACCGCCGGGGGATGCTTATCTCTGGCGATAACTCGCTATCTGCGAATCCGTTGGCAGGCGTCGGCTCCGGAGTCTCCGCATACCGGACGGGCCCACCTCGACGATGACAGGCGATAAGCTGGGACTGCACATGTCGTGTGTTTGACGACTTGTACTCCATATCTGGGGATGTTACCTCATCGATACAGGTACTACGTGAGTAAGTGCGGTTGAATTGGTAGACATGCCAGCCTAGAGCGTTTTCGCTGTACCTCCCCACGCTGAGGAACTCGTATCACCGGACAGGCTACGGAGTAATAGATAACGGGTAGGATGGAATGCCGAGATGGACTCGATTCTGTAACTACACTCTCACAAATAACCTGCCTATCGAGTCCACACTCGATGCTCAGACACGAGCTGCTCCGACGTGTTCCTGTCTCGTCATGCGTGTGCTGGCATTGGGCATCGGCATTGGCTGAAACATCCTCGGCGCGGAACAATCGCCCACGGCCTATGACAGGCATTGACAGCTCCCCGCCTTTCTCTGCTGGGCCGACCCATCGGACGAATCGAGTGTCGTCCAGGCATGTCTTTTCTTCCATTGTCTGCCATTTCGTCTCTTCGACACGATGTGCTCTTCGATTTTTCTCTGACCTTCTTTCTGCGCCGACAGCTCGAGGCGGACATCCTGCTGTTCCGCAGCTTCCGATAGCATCGAGATCTGTGCCCCACCAGGGCAGCGGTAGTCGTACGCAGCATATCTCGTTGAAGCATCCTGTCCCCGCAAGGCTGGCCGTCAGCGCTTTCGGCCACAGCTATCCAATATGTACGAGGGAACGCGTGATGAAGAGCGAGGCATCTTCATCCCTCCTCCCTTGAGCGACGACGAGAGCAACGGCGAGCAGGATGCTGCGGCTGAGGCCCTCGCCGTCGATGGAGAGGAGCTGGGAGGCATCAGAACCACCTTTCGGTTTCCTGTCTGGCTACAGGAGTCATCCAAATCTTTTCGCTGGCGCTGGGTCCCTCTGCCCTTACGAAAGGCTGTCCGCGCGACAGCACGCTGGGTCAAAGGCCCCGATCCACCTCGAGATCTTCTCTTCAAGCCTCTGTTCCCCAGCATTCAAGAGCTGCCTGTCAAATACCTGAATCGCTTTTTCCCCAAACGGCGTCACAAAATCGCACTACTGCTCTTGCTCTATTTCAGCTGGTTTCTATCCTGGTTCTTAGTGTTGCTTCATTCGTCCTCGTCAGGTCACATTGAGGGCTACGGCAGGCCTCAGCCTATCTCTTGCTCAGCCAGTTACTGGTATGCAAATACACATAGCGTGCATTTGGACCAGCTGACTGATGATGGCAGGGCTTCTGGAAATCAATGCGGCCTTAACGGAAATGATTGCAGGCCTTTCAGTTCTTCCAAGTTCTCCTTTCGCTGTCCTGCAAACTGCAAATCCACGATCCTGCTGGAGCCGCATACTGTTGGAAACCAGACCCTCAATTACGAACCGCTGGTGGTTGGTGGTCCGACTCCGGACTCGTCTCTGCCGGGCATCTATCGGGCAGACAGTTTTATTTGCCAAGCGGCGATCCACGCCGGTGTGGTTTCGAATGCTGCTGGCGGCTGCGGCGTGGTGACGCTGGAAGGTGCTGCGCACTCGTACCCGTCCGTCTCACAGAATGGGTTGACATCAATTGGCTTCCCATCCACTTTTCCCAAGTCCTTCAGTTTCGTCCGCCTGTCTCCGTCGCAGGCCACTTGCCCGCAAGACCCGCGATGGCCTCTCCTGGGAATCACCGTCGCTGCCGTGGTGATCTTGTCGATCTTCACGACTTCCCCGCCGGTATTCTTCTTCAGTACCTTCTTCATCTTGATCCTTCATGTCGGCCTGGTGTCCGACCCGCCAAATCTTCCGACCCTGACAGACCTCTTCTCTTTGATGCTCTCTCGCCTCCTCCCTGCGTCGTTCATAGCATATGTACTCTATCTGTACTGCGCGCGCCCGCTCTTGACACGAGTCTCTTCCCCTACCTACCAACTGAGCAGGACAATTCTCTACTTGACCCCTGCGTTCATTGGGGCGTTGAACAACTACACCTTTGCGGTTTGGATTCCTCTGCAGCGTCTCACCCCGCATGACCTCCAAGAACAGCCCGGCGCGAAATTGGCGCTGGCCATCGTGGTCAGCATCATCATTTGCATCGCTCTTACTCAAGCGTGGTATATCCGCCTCGCAGGACTGATGCCACGCTATCTCAAAGTGTACCTGGCAATGGGTGCCATCCTTCTCGTTTTACTCCCTTTGCCGGGTCTGAGACTCCGAATCCATCACTACATTCTTGCCATGTTGCTAATGCCCGGCACTGCCATCCCCACACGGCCCTCGTTGATCTACCAAGGTCTGCTTCTTGGTCTCTTTGTCAACGGGGTCGCGAGGTGGGGGTTCGCCTCGATCATCGAGACCCCGGCAGCTCTTGGCGAGGATCCAAGGAGTCCCCGGGGGGGCTGGTGGGGTGCGACGAGTCCGAATATCACTGCGTCATCCGTCACCATTGAGCTGGAGGACGCGCCTCAGATCATGCATCACAAATACCGCGGCAACGGTAACATCACGATCGACCTGTGGGAACCGGAGCGGATGGCGGAACTAGGCGTGGACGGGGTGAGCGTGCTCGTCAACGACGTCGAACGCTGGCGCGGCTACCTAGACGAAGACCGCGAAGGCAAATTCACATGGCACCGCCACGGCCACCGCGGTCTCGAACTGGTATCCACAAACATCGACTTGAACAAGCCCAGCAGTACTGAAACTGCAGCAGACCACGACGCAGACGAACCAGAAGACTTATTCTTCCGCTTCGCATTCCTGCGCGGCGCAGAGGCCGGCCGATACGGCGGCGTAGGCGTCTGGACCAAAGACGGGAGCTGGATTCCGCCTCCTCCTCCGCCGCCTATGCCATGACATGACATGATGAACCAGACATCGATAGAATGAATGGATAGAGATAGAAATTCTTGCTCACATGAACTTGCTCACATGGACTTTTTTTGCCCTTTTTGGTTAATTGGTTGGATGGTTTTATAAGGCACACTTACACACAACGCACGGAGGGAGAAGGTCTGCTCTGCTCTGGTCTGCTCTGGTCTGGATGGATGGCTTTGGGATGGATGGATACGAAAAAGAAAAACAAAGCGGAGACTTCGGTTTTTTTTTTTTGGATTGTTTTTGGTTGGTTGATTGTTTATATATACCCTACCTAGATATGGATCAAGCAAGCCTGGACTCGATTCAATTCAATTTGATTCGATTGGAATTCGGATTCAAATTTTGCTGTATTATGCTTGGCTCTATTTTTATTGTCATAGTAATATCTTCATCTTCATGTCCGTTCTATGATTCTCAAAACAGTCAATTCTATAAGATGTGTATATCATGACTCTATATGGCTCTGACTCTGCTTTTGGAATATTTCATATATACATTCAACTGGCCTCAGACTACCGCTTTATGCCAATCACCGCAAGATTCCGCGGACTCTCCGCATAGTCAAAGACCGGCTCGACCCAGCACTCCTTGACGATGCCCGCCGGGATGTACTCGCGCAGGAACTGCCACCGGTCGACGACAATGATGGCCTCGACCACTGCCGCGCTGAACGCCATCAGGCTCCAGACGACGCTGAGGTTCTTCTTCGCGTGCATGTAGTCCCGGACGTACTGCTCCAGTTCTTCGGTCGTGAGTTCCTGGAGCAGCTTGGCGATCTTGTCGCCGTGCGTCGGGTCCCGCGTCAGTTTGGTCAGCGCTGCCTGCACATAGGCCGGGAAGGACGCGTATGCGGCCTTGCGCAGCGAGCCGACGATCAGAGGCGTCCCCGAGGGTCCGCCCTGCTCGGATTCACCGCTTGCAAGCTCTTCGAAACTCGCAGGGACGGTAGGCTTGGGGACGACGCCGTGGTCGAGGAGGACCCGTTGGAGCAGTGCGCGGTAGAAATGGCGGGTGAAGAAGGCTTCGCTGTCTTCTTTGCCCCAGTTGTATGGGGCTTGTACGGCCATCATCCGCGCGGTGATGTTCAGCTTGATCCCCGTCCCGCTGGCATGAGGATACTCCGCCAGACGCTTGGACATGGGAAAGCCGTGTGGATCATAGGCGGTACCTGTGCTCTCCAGACGGGGATGTAGGGATCGAAGGACCGGAAGTTTCCAAGTGGCCGGGCCGAGTCTCTCGGTCATGAGATTGTAGCAGCAGCCGATCATGGCTACCGCGACAACCGACGGGTTCAGAACCAGCGATCTCACACCGTGATGGATGAGATTGCCGCACGAATGGAGAGAGACCACCATTACTCTCGCATCGTTGGCCTTTTGATCTTCACTGGTTACCTCTACTGTTGTTGAGTTTGCTCCTGCTTTTGAGTCCACCGATGAAGAAGGCTGGACGACGTGACGGATGATGGGCTCGAGATAGCCGTCCTGGATCTCATGCTCGATATAATGCATTGATCCTGTGAGCTGGATCTGATCGTCCTTGGCTCGTTCCCTGCGAATGCCATTGCGAGGATCCGGAGAGGGGCTCAGATCATCCGGGTCCAGATCAAGCTCGCTGAAAACATTGATCACTTTTACATCGTCCTCTTCCTCCCTTACCCCGTCTTCTGTGACATTTGGGCAGCAAGCTGAACCCGATGATTGCTGCGAACACGAACCAGGGTCGTTTTTGCTCGCTTCCTCTGAACGGGGTGGAGATGCATCCGAATTCCTGTATAGGGGTTTTGAGGTACTCCTTCTTGTTTCGCAGGACGAGTTTCTTCTCCGCCAGTTTCGCGTGGACGTCCATGTCTCGGGCTTCGCGGATATTGTCATGCACGCGCTCGATGGCAATCACGTGTCGATTGTACGGCGGACTGGCCAGCGTCCGTCCCAAGTAATTTTGGCCTGAGCCAAAGTCGACGATATGGGTGACGGGCTCCCCTCTGGTCTCAGCGACATCAGCGCACAGAGAGTCGACGTACTGGGAAAAGTTTGCGACCTCATGGAGCTTCTTTGTTTTCATGCCAACCGCGATGCGTCTCGGGATGGCCCTCTGCTTGGAAGAAACCTGGGGGGAGACGTCCCGTCTCAGACTCAGCCGTCGAATGTTTCGGATGTAATCCAGGAGGGACCTGGGAGGCAGCGGACCCCCTTTCCACGTCCGTTCCTGCTGCGGGTGCACATCTTCTGCCGTCGCATCGTCGTTGGGGCTGGACTCAAACTGGGAGAGATCCTCCCTCAGGAGGAGGTGGAGGATGTCCTGCACATCGTGCCTGTCGAAGAACAGCCGCCAGTCTTCCGGCAGCAGCGTCGTGTAGAGGTCGGGCTCGCGGGTCAGGAAATCGAGGATGTGAACCCCACCACACAGATTGATAAACAGGTGGGTCGACGTTGCGAACGAGAGCAGCGAGTCGACATAGGAATCCGCATCCTGCCACTCGTCGGCGAGCGGGAGGGGGGACGCGGGCGCCATATCTCATCGGAGGTGAGCAGCCCTGCAATAATGGACGACTAGCCCGCGCATGGTCTCTGGCACTGTCGAAGCTAGGATTCTGAGCTGGTCGAGTGCACTGTGCAGGCGTTCCTTCCTCTCTTATTCGCCGGTGGGGAAAAACTCAGGCTGCAGGCGCGGTTACGCGATTGGGCTTAGCGCGGGTCGGCCTTGGGCCTTTAGCGAGTTTATCGCGTGCAAGGTTATCGTCACGTGGGGGCCAGCACTGCCCCCTCGCTGGCGAATGAGAATCGTCTGCTGCTCGACGGCCTCGCTTTTTCCGGCGGTACTATTCTTCCCCCCGGCGTCGTGTTCGCTGTCTCTCCCAGGTCTGCCTACCACGCTGTGTACAGTACAGTACGGTACATACATTGTGCAGACTGCAGAGAGAGTCGGCCGATCGGCACGCCTAGCACGCTGCATGTCAGTCTTAGCTTCTAGAACGCGGGAGAAGACTCGGATCGAAAGCGAGCGCTGGGCTGGTTTGAAATCCGGCCAGGCAATCACATGTGACCGTGGGCTCTAGCGGAGGCCCAGCGCGAGGCTAAACCGGCGAGGATGCCCGTTTGGCTTGGCAAATTTTCCGGGCTCGACGCAGTGGGATGGCTGCGCGCCGGCAAATTAGCAGCAGTTCACGGCGCTCGTTCTCCAGATCGCTTGCTGGCGGTGCGCACACGTGAGGCCCGGCGAACGTTGTTTCAGTTAGGTTGCAAGCCCAGCCTGCCTGTGCGGAGCGCCCTGGGCCCGAATGGCGGCCATGCTGTCCCGACGCTCTCCTCCAACGGCTCCCTCGCTGCTTCCACCCTGGCCGCACCGCTCCAGGATGCTTCTCGCTGCAGAGCTGCAGGCAGTCGACTTGCCCTCGCTTCTCTCGGTTCATTAATATCAGCAGCCCTGACAAGTCCAGGTAAGAGAGCCCTCGCCCGTGGTCCCAGCTCCCGCCAGCAGAAAGGGCCCCCACGGCCATGTCGTGAAGACATCGTGAAAATCCAAAGTCTGTCGTGACCGGCCTAGTTGACAAAACTCGAGGCTTAAAAAGAGACGAGTCGACACGCCCCAGCGATGATTAAGAGATGCTCAAAAAACGATCGTCGTCATCGTCGTCGTCGTCCTCGTCCATATTCGGTGGCGTCCCCGATGTGCTCTTCCAGATCCTCAGCGTGAGCGATGCCTCCACCATCCCGGTCGTGTGCCGCCTCAACAGAGCGACCTACAATACGATCAAATGCAACGAGTCCATGATATGCAACTCCTACCTCCGCTATCATGACATCCCGCCCTTCGACCCCATTCTGATGATGGATCGCACGACGGGGAAACCGCAGCCCCTGACCATCCGCAATCTTCAGAAATTTCTCCATCGCCAGGATACGGCGCGGCGGCTGGCTTCCCGCATCGCGCGATCTGGCTGGGGAGCGTGGTGGGCGATCAAGGACACGGAAATGGACGATGAAGCTGACCTGTTCCGCCAGCGGGTGGAAAGAGGCCTGTATGTCATTCTCCATATGGCCGACATCGTTCGCGAAGTCGAGAGGATGAAGCTCCCCGCGGATAAGACGTGTCCCATTGCGCTCGGCGTCCATCGCAACCTCGTGTGCAACCGGTTACCATGCGCCTCGGAACCGCGCAAGAAGGGCGTGCTGGCGTTTGTGCGCCACATCCAGCATATCTACCGAGTGCTGGTGCGCAAGGCCCAGCATCGGGAAATTGGTAAGAGACGGTTGATCTTCCGGTCATTTCTGAACGAGGAGCAGGAGGTCGACTTCCACATCGCGCTGCAGATGCTGCGGCTGTTTCTGGATACCATTCTTTTCGCGCACAGCCCAGATGACGGCAATATCCAGATCGAGGACTGCAGTATCGTATGCTGGTTCCTCCTGCGACAACCGGCCCATGCCCTGTCTCGCATCTTCCTGGAGTTGCCCGATGCCAAATGCTGCAGCGTGGAGGATCGAGCGCGCAAGGACAACTTGGTGTGCAACTACGCGGCAGAGCTGAAGGAGTACTGGGACGCGTGGAATGGGGATAGGCATTTGGACTGCAAGCGGTGCGAGGCCTGGCTCCGCAGCTGGAGCGTGGACATGATCCTGAACGACCGTTTCGGACAGAAATACGACCGGCAGGCCCGAGAATGGGTGAAACAGATGCGCGGCGAAGGCGACTCGCTATCGCGAATGGATTGATCCGATCCTTAATTTGATACTCCTTTCCATTCGCTTTTCTCTTCTTTTCTTTCCTTTTCTTTTTTCTTGTCATCATCTGGGTGGGCATTTTAGCATTAAGGCGTGAGCGTGGGCGTTTGTGTCGAGCTGCGCTTTGATGCGCATGCTGAGTATTTAATTCGCTAGGATGGTGGACCTAGCATGTTTATACTACCGATTGCATGAGTGGTCACCAAGTCATTCCTTGAGAGAATTCCATTGAGGTGATTGTGATATATACATGTATCTATGGCGTATATATCTCCTCTAACCTCGACATCATATACTTGACTATTGAGTTAAATATTTGACTATTGAATTAAACATGTCAATAATTAAGAAATGACCCAGTTGAAATAGCTGGAAAGAGAAGTAAATTGGGGTGAACTTGTGGATATACGTTGTCTGTGCCCGTCCTAGTAAGGAGAGTGTATCCGCGTCTCCGGAGTACCGGACCCGGCCTAGACTTTAGTGGAACGTTGACAACCCAAGTGAGCGATGACGACCTCCAGTCGGTGTACTGTTCAACACAACACAACATCCACGATTCCATAAGGCAGAAATGCAGCTCTTTTTCATTCCTTGGAATACCCCTTTCTAATAGATTTCACTATTTCGTTTTTCTTCTATCTCGTTTTGTTCCTCAATAATCAACCATGAATCCATCCGAGTCGACAGACCCATTCCTTCAGGTCCAAGCGTATGTCTTCTCCTTGCCTCAACTTGACTGTCAACCCGTGGTTGAAAGTCCATCTCTCTATCCATCTACCATTTTGCTGATGACAAAAACGAAAATAGAGACGTCCTCGCAACGCTGCAGACAACCCGCCCCCTTTTCTCCTCCTACCTCCGCATCCGCTCCCTCGCAACATCACCATCCAACCCCGAACTCCAACAGGCCCGATCGGAGCTCGAGTCGACCCTGCAGGACCTCAGCGCCGATCTGGGCGACCTCGTCGAGAGCGTGCGCGCCATCGAGCATGACCCTTACCGGTATGGCCTCGAGTTGGACGAGGTGGAGCGACGACGGAAACTGGTCGAGGAGGTCGGGGCAGAGATCGAGTCGATGAAGACGGAGCTGCAGAAGCCTGTCGTTCCGACGACGTCTGATGCAGCTGCAGCTGCAGGAAAAACCGCAGCGGCAGGAACTTCAGCGTCAGGATTACCCAATCCGTCCGATTTCGACAACCTCCTCTCCCCCGATAGTGCCGGCCGGGGCGGCGCAGATGATTACTACGCTTCCTACGAGCAGCAGCGGCAGGCCGAGCTGATGCAGGCGCAGGACGAGCAGCTGGATGGCGTGTTCCGCACCGTGGGCAATCTGCGCCAGCAGGCGGATGTCATGGGACGAGAGCTTGAGGATCAGGCTGTGATGCTTGACGAGGTCGATACCCTGGCTGACCGCGTGGGAGGGAAGCTCTCGAGCGGAGTGAAGAAGATTAGACACATTGTGCGGAAGAATGAGGGTGAGTTTTCTCTCTGTGTCTTATTCTAAGCAAACAAAGCACTTTTTCAAGACTGCTAACGAAATGGTATAGATACATGGTCATCCTTCTGCATCGCCGTCCTCATCTTCGTCCTGGTCCTCCTATTAATCCTGGTGATTGTGCTATAATGTACAAACAAGAGAATATTTTAAAACGACTGAATCATGGCTGGATAGTGTGTGTTGTCGATCAATCAGGTCTTGACCTTCTTGCGAGGCCGCTCCTCGGCCTCCTCTTCTTCCTTTTCGTCACCCTCCTCATCCTCTTCGTCGTCCTCCAGACCCTCCAGTTCCTCGACGTCGGCGTCGGAGTCGAATTCATCGTCAGGGACCTCGTATGATTGGACTAGACGGATTAGAATCAGCTCTCCCGACAAGTCCGGAACGACTTACCATAGTATTTGAGGGCACCAGGCCAGAGGTCCTCTGCAATGGCGGTCGCCAACTCCTCGCCGTCTGGGAAGAGCTCTGCAGCTTCCAGGCTGTCCTCCTCCTCCTCGTCGTCCTCGTCGTCGTCATCGGCGTCTTCCTCGACCTCTTCGCCCTTCTCGATCTTGGCGAATCGCTCCTCCTCCTCCTTCTCTGCCTCCTTGGATTGCTCTGCGGTGACGTCGCGTCCGCGGTAGCCGAAGAAGGCGAAGAAGCTCATGCCGGCAGGGCTGCGCGAAGCCTTGGGGTCGTCGTCGTCGGCCTCCTCGTCCTCATCACCGGTCATGGCCTCGGCCTCGGCCTCTTGGATCTTCTTGACCAGGGTCTCGTACTCGGGGAGCTTGGTCCGGTCGACGGACTTGTCTTTCTGCTCGGCCTCGTAGAGGTCGCAGGCGGCGTCGAGCAAGCCCTTGGTGAGGTCCTGGCCCTCCTTCCAGTTGATACGGACGGGGTTGGAGACGTAGCCCTCCCAGGTGCGGCGCTTGCCCTTGGCAGTCTTGGTGACCTGCTTGCGCCAGTAGAAGTCCTTGACAAGCTGGGCGTTCTCGAAGTAGGGGTTCTCGTCATCGCCGGTGGCGAAGTCAAAGATGAGGCGCACGCTGCGCGGCTCGCCATTGCCGTTCTCGTCGAGCTCGAAGCGCTCGACGGTCAGGTTCTTGAGGCACTGGCCCAGGACAGCGGCGTCAGAAGGCAGGATGTACTCGTCGATCTCAGCGGGGGCGTTGGCGAAGACGCGGGGCCAGAAATCAGCGTCCTGCAATTCCTTGGATTTGATGAGGGCGTTGCGCTTTTCATAGAGGGGGCGCATCAGGGGGATCGTTTTGCGCACTGAAATCGTTAGATTAGCACATCGATCCATAACAACAATAGATAAACAAAAGCAATACATACTCTGCTCAACCTCCGCACGAACAAACTCCCGCTCCAACTGCGCAATCTTGCGCGCAGCCTCCTTGGGGATGGAAGGCGCTTCCTCGATGCGCTCAAAGAGCGACTTTCCTTCATTGCTATTGCTGCTGCCGTTGGCGGTGCCGTTGGTTTTGGTTTCGCCGTTGGCGGGCATTTTGAAAATCAAAAAATTAATTAATTGACTGATGGATTAAATTCAATTGATGGTTAGTAGGAAGTAAAAGTAAAGTGAGATGGAGAGTGTGATGATGAAAGAGAAAAAAAAATAAAAGAAAGGGGTAACGATAAAGGATGGGGGGTGTGATAAGTAAGACGACGCGAAAAAAAATTAATTTGCGCCGCGCCCGGCCGCGTTGCGTTGCGTTGCATTCTAAGTTTTCTTTTTTTTTGCTTTCGTCTTAGGTAATTACCTAGGCTACCTACCTACCTAGGCAGGCAGGTCTCCCGGAGTAATTACCTAAGGTAGGGCTGGCCAGACTACAGTTCCAGAGCAAAGCGACGGACGGGACGCTAATATTACCAGGAGGAGTTTAGCAGGTTAATTATTATGATTGAAGAGTTTGCTCACTTGGCTGTGTTTTTTATTTACCATTTTTTAAAATTTTTTTTTTCAAAAGGCTCTCCCCGAGCAACTGGTATGAGACTATGAGCGGCTGACGAGCCTGAAGGACGATTGGACGAGAGAAAAATGGCTGAATGGAGCGGTCATTCTTGGCAGGGCCAGTGATCCGCTTGCTGTATGGAGTACAGAGTACTGCAAAGTAAAAAGTTCTTCAGCGGTAGCTAGGTATAACATGTGATGATGTGACTGACTGATGTCAAGGTTCTAAGTGTGTATTCTTGATCTTTTTGTGTAATTAGTGACAGGCAGGTTGAATGAGTGTGTGCAAATATTCCCTAGTATAACCCCCTTATCCAAGCCTTCTCTCTCTCTCTGTCTTTTTTTTGTAAGAAATTTTCAGTCCAGCCTAGAGTATCCCCACCTTGTAGTCCCCAGCCCGGTACAGTATTCGCAAGCTTTATTTAATTCCATAGGTATGTCGTTGTCAGGTAGGTAGGCTGGCGCAGAAGAAAATCATCCAAGAAGGCCGTTCCGTTGCGCGCTGAATTGTGTTGATGCTGCTGAAACACAGAAGAAGTAAGTAAGCAAGTATATATAATTACTCTGAACAGGAGTTTTGCCAAAAAAACAAAGAAGGAAAGAAAATAAAAAACCTTAAACATACCTAACCAACATAAATCCAACGCGCCATACCTATGCACATATATATGTGCATACATAGGTATAGATTCAATTCAGGTGCAAACATGACAAGTCTTCTGGCACATAGTTCTTACAGCAGGTCCAGCCTTGGGATCATTGCAAACAGGGGCCCACTTCGGGCACGTTGGGCTATCGTCTGCGCAGTATTCCTTGCCAGCAGGAACAGTAATTGGAGCAGTGGTGGCAGAAGCCAGCAGAGCGGTTTGGACGAGGAGGAAGATGCCGAAGAAAGTACGCATTTTGATTATAGCAGAGGAAGAGGGCGTTTTCTTTCTTTCAGCAAGTAGAAGGAATGTGTTTGAGTTTGTTGTTCAATGAGCAATCTGAATGGAATGCGAAGTCTGGAATGTCGTGTTGTCCTTTTTATATGTATGTACTGGAGTACTCCGTACCGTACCTACAGTAGTGTCATTATTGAAAGAGTCAAACGCAGTAACACAAAGCAGTGGAGATAAATTGGAGACGTCAGGTACACAATGCTTACAGATCACTCGGGATAGCGATTATTATCATGAGTTTTGCATGGATAATCCAACTATGTACCTTACAGTCGTTACCTGTCTTAATATGTAGTGTAACCTGGTTATGCAGGCTAGCGTCGTTTGTGTTATACTATATTAGCTAGAGCACACTTAACAAAGAAATATTACTATGTACAGACTAGAAGAGAGCATTGACTGCTATGCAGGACCTTTTATCTGTCTGCTCTAGCTCTGTCTAGAGAGTACATACAGTTGGAGGCATTGACATGGACTGGCCCCAGGGATTTGTCTGCTGGGCGGCTGCAAGTATAGTTGTTATCATCTGCCATAGGTATGTGGATGTACTGTAACTAAGTATCTAAAATGTCTATTTTTGTCATTTTCTTAAAAAAATATATACATACTGTTGCACAACATATCTTGAAACCATATGGGTAGCTTTGAATAGAATAGGTCCTACTCGTGGTTACATGTTTGTTTTCAAAAGTAGCGCTGATAATCACGCATGTAATCTGCCTATAACCCTGTCTGTAATCTTGCATATAATCTTGCATCTAGATGGAATATTTGGAGTTCAAGTAGTAATATGCTTAGAATAATAATTAGAGATCTACACGTCAGGGGATCTGTCGCATTCAGCGATATTGATGGGCCATACCTTATGTCCATGCACGCGTGGAAGGTCCATCTTTGAAGCGCGTGGACTGTTATTTTATTACACTGAGGACTGACTGTAGCTAGTTTAGAAGGCGCTCCTTACACACTTGCTTGACAGCATAATGCATCAGAGCCCATATAGAAAATAAAAGCCTATATTATATGGCATAGGCCAGACGAGCAGAGCAAGTCGTTAGAGTAAAGCCTATACAGATCATATGCAACAAACGTGTTTTCTCATTTAAAACACTCTTAAACACAGAGAATATCCTAGACCCAGATCAAATTCCAGAAAAAAAAAACCACCCAGCCTAGACTTCCCAAGCCTAGAAGCAGACTATTTCCATTCCCAGTCACCAGTGCAGTAGGCATGGCATCGTGAAGGCCGTTCAATATTCAAGTAAAGCGCACTGCTGTGACAGAAGTTAGTATATGACCATACCCTGAACAATAGTCTAACAAGAAATATATTAAGTTCCTTTCCTTCGAGAAGCCCAATACATACTTAGAGAATATACCATACCCACACCTATATTTTTGAGGCATCCGGCAGGTACATTCTAGCAAACACCACAAGTCCTAGGACAATCCTTCCTTATCTGCTTCTCAGCATCAGGAGCGTTGCAAAGAGCAGCATATCTGATGCAGAGTATCGGGCTGATGTCGACGCAGTTCTCGTCAGCGGCGGGGTTGGCAGCAGGAACAGGAAAAGGGGCAGGGCTGGCTGAGGCAAGCAGAGCGGCTTGGAGGAGGAGAAAGGGACTCGTCAGGAGAGATCGCATTTTTGTTTGCTGTTGTTGATGATTTCTGACTGATTGATAGATAGTAGAGGTTGTCCTCCAATGAACGATGTGAATGAAGTCTGGAGGAAAATTCATTTGCATTGTTCTTTTTTCTTATTGCAAGGTTTGTTGCCCTTTTTATATGCGAAATACTGTACCCGGGACATTAACATTAACATCATTGTAGACAGGAACAAAGTAGCATCCAAACTGGGGTCGGGGGCAGGATCCAACACTGGAGTCTCCAGGTCCACTGTCGCTCGGCCAGATAATTACGCAGGTTAGCATTATTATAGAAGACAAAGAAATATGTACATACATGAATCGTCACTGCTGATCAGAGAGCAGATTCACTGCTATGTTGGACTTGGTTTTCTTCTCTATTGGCTCTGGCTCTGATTCTGGTCAGGCATTCATTCCTTCTTTGCTGGGGGCGACAGCATGTTTGATCCATCTATACACTAACTCTGAAGCATGTCTTGTCATTCGAAGTAATCAAAACAATGTACGGAGAGTATGGAGCAAGTGTATCTATCCCAGATGCAAAATCAACATCGTTGTGTTCACATACATACGGAGTACATCCTTCGTAGAAGCTATCAAGAGATATCTATAATCTATATTATATACAAACAATACATTTACAGTATGTTGGAATGTTAGGTAATCAACAAGGTTAACGACGGCCCTGCGCGTTGGGGGCCTTGGGGGGGCCAACAGAAGCCAACAGAAGAAGCATTTAGGGCAGATCTTCAGCAGATCTCCATATTGTTATATTGTTACAACTAGAAGGTATCTACACGAGGAATAATCGCCCCAGGAAGACGTCGGCTTTGACGTCACTTACAAAGTGCTCGCTGCTCTAACATTATACTTTCACCTTTCCTATATTTATGCCTTCTCCCATGCTATTTTTTTTCAGTTATTACTTAGCTTATAATAACTACTGTGATAGACTGTTTTGTTCACTAAGTATTACTCTCCTCCCTATTTCAATCATATATAAATACCTAGACTAGAAATACTCCTAGATTAGCTAGTTATCTACCATGCTTTCTAGAATTCTTTGGGCTCTTTATACTAAGTTTACTTTTATTACTATCTTATAAAACTTTTCTTTTAAGAAAAAAAATGATAAGTACTGTTACACCTAGTTCAATCTACATAATCACAATCGTATTTATTTCTTCCACTCAATCAGACCTGTTAGTTGAGCCAAGACGTCAGTCAGTAAGTTCAGTAATCAGTACTAGAAATCAAAGCCATCTATCTCAATCTCGATCTCAATATCAATCTTCTCCTTAAACGAATGGAATTATTGCGAAGTTAAGAAAAAGTCATGGCAGTGCCATCCGATGGGATGGATGAAAAAGAAAAAAAAGCAAAAGTCAAGCTGATTGATTGATTGATCGATCAACAACCTTCAATTATACATTCCTTTCTTTCATTCCTTTTCATTTTTTTTGTGCTTTTACTAAAAAAAAACAATTCTTTGACAAGAAAGAACCATAAGAATCATAAGAATCATAAGATGAGATAACGTTTCGCTTCGACTCTGAAACAAAACTCCTTCCTGGGCGTGAATTATCATAATATAATTTAATAAAAAAACACGACCCTCCTTAGGCAGTCAGTCGTCAGTCTTATTTTTTATGAAGAGAAAAAAAACAAAAAAATACAAAAAAAAAGGGCCTTATATATATATATGTCTGGTTATCCCTACATATTACTGCGTAAAACATCCAAATTCTCCTAGTCAGTCAGTCAGTCAGTCAGTCAGTCATATAATAAATAGTTCTTCTCATGTGCTCTCAGGTACTGTTGTACTGTCCTGTTGGACTGCACAAACAAAATATCGATGTTGTTGTCGATGTTCTTTGTCAACTAATTAGTTAATTGATAATTGAATTTGACCTAACCAATTAATTGAGTAAGTTAAGACAGGTACATTACATACAATATGTGTGTACAGATCAAGCCCAATTGATTATTGCTACTTACTTACTTAGGAAGATGACCTAGTCGTAGCTGATAGATAGCTATCAATTAAGTAGCTATATCTTCGAGGGAAAAAAAAAAGAATTTACTTATTCATTTATTTATTTAAAGTCATGACGCTTTTGTTTCATTTCTCTCTCTCTCTCTCTCTTCGTCATTAGTACTTTAGGTAGATAGTTAGACAGGACGGTCAAAATAAAAAAAAAGACATTGTAGAAAATTTTCCGCTGCCTGAATGAAAATTAAACAGATAGGCGTAAGTAACGATCAACTTTTTCTCGCTCTTTTTCTCTTTCTCTGTCTCTCGAACACAGCTCTCAAACACAGCTCTCACAATCGAGTCCATGCGTCATGATAAGCAGATAAATAGTCGGATAAATAATAAATCGACAGATCGATAAAAAAAAAGGACTTGGAAAGGCTTGGAATAATAAATTCGTGACGTGACGGCCGTAGCAGCATCATAAAAACATAGAAAAAAAAACACACTTTTGGTGGGCTGTTTGGCGGCCCGCTTAGTAAGCATAAGCACGGGGCAGGGATATGACGTACTGTCGTAGATGAGGTGAGGAGGGTCAGGTGAGGGAGGTGACGAGGATGACGATGGTGGGTATGGTTCAAGACAGCCAGACGAGACGCCGATGATGAGTTGAGAAGGTAGGATATGTCGATGCCCAAGATCAAATCATTCAACCCGAGTAAAAGAACACCATGCATGAAAGAAAGAAGGAAAAGATTACCTCGCGCCGACGACGCGCGATCATAACATCCAGTCCAGCCCGTTGGCCTCCTCTTCTACTGGAAAGACCTCCCTGGCATACTCCTCCATATCTCGCCAGCCCTGCCACAGTTGTCGTGCCTCGTCCGTTACCCGCTGCGAGACGACTCCTCCCGGCCCCTGCATCATGCCTGCCCCGGCGCCTTTCCCGTTCGCAGGCCCCAGTCCCTTCGGAGACCCGGCGGCAGGGGGGTTGAATTCCGGCTGAGGGAAGTACGGCGCCTCCAATTGCCCGAACAACACCTCAATACCCTCCAATTGCTCCTTGTACCCAGCTGGAATCGACACTTTGATCTCGATCTTGGGAACCCGGCGGTACACGCAGCGACGGCCCAGGGCCCGGCTGAAGGCGTTACAGACCTGCACGGGGGTGAGCGTCTCGAAGGTCAGAGCAATCCTGAGGAAATCCATTCGTTAGTTTTCGACAACCTCTTACAATCAAATACAGGCATGATACAGGCATTCCTACCGATGACCGTTCCACTTCTTCGGCCCATCCTTGAAGATCTGAAGCAGCGCCGGGCCGACATCGTGCTCCGCATCCAGCCACGGCAACGGAATGTCCGGGTTGAAAGGCGCGCGCCATTCAAAGCTGCCGTCCGGCTGCAGCTCCATCTGGAAGAGAGGGTACGGCAGACTGGTGAAGTTGTTGTTGTAGATACCGGCGTACACAAAGGTGGCTGGCAGCCCCAGCTGCCGGATGTAGTTTTCGACAGCGAACTTGGGCGCCCACAGCGGCAGACTCGGCCATGGCCCATGTACCGAGTGGTCCGGCATGCTGCTGTAGATGTAATGCGTGATGGTGCCGGCCCGCTTGGCAGCGTCGGCCAGCGCGCGGCCGATTTCCACCTCGTCGCCGGCCTGGGATACCGTGTTGATGAAGGCGAGGCTGGCCCCTTTGAAGAGCTGGTCCATGAGGGGCGTGTTGTTCATCAATGGGCCCTGGATCAATTCCACATTGGGCAAACTCTGCAGCTCGGCGGCGATGACGCCTTTGAGGGAATGCACCTGGCCCCGCACATAATATCCCACCGCGGAGGCGACGCGGATGAGCGACGCCGCCTGGCGGCCAGTGGCATTGACCACGGCGATGATCTTCCGGGGCTGTTGTGTCATTCGCAGGGGGTAAATTCGGAGAGAGGGTGAGGTTGAGGTAGAGAGGGTGAGGGAGAGAGATCGATCGAGGTCGAGGTCCTTGCGTCCGATATAGCTTATTTCCCCACTAGAAAGTAGGATCGAAAGACTGGGAGCGGAAGAGGAACTGTAGACAGCAGATGCGGCGAGAAATAAGAATAATGGACGGATGGTATCAGCAGCAGGGCGAATGCTGCAATCAGACGGTCACGTTCTCGTGCGTGCCAAAAGCTGATGGTGCAATTGTCCCAATCACGGCGTGACGAGATGGAGCATCCGCAGCTCCCAAGTGGAGATGGTCTGGATGGGTCCGGCAGCAGGCCTGGTGACTTGACCTCCAACGTGGCCAGCTCAGTGCTCGCAGAACCGTCGCGTGGCCGCAGCAGCAGCTGACAGGGCAGCAGAGTCAAGGTTGTTGTTCCTGATCGCAGCGGTGGACTTTTTTTTTTCTGGTTCCGAGATTCCACCCACTTCTGCAGAACCACAGGACGGCCGCCGGCAAGCTCAGGCAGTTTGGGGGAGGATTCTAGGCCGGCAGCAAGAACAGGCCGTGAGAAGTGCGATTTGCCAGGATAGAGACTGCGTGCGAGAAGGTTCTGGCTAAGGCAGATTGGCGCTAGGGACGTCTGGGGAAAGAGGGGGGGAGTGGATTGGACCTGGCGGCTCTAATACCCTCGATCGAAACGACGACGACGATGACGATGACAATGACAGTAACAATGGCAATGGCAGCGGAAATGACTGCCGTGATGACCTACCCTGCAGACGGATTTATTGCTGCGAGCAGTGCTCGAGGCGTGCTCCCGATCTCGGAGGGTCCTCAGGCTGGGATAGGATAGGGATGGCCAGCGCCTGCAAGGTGATTTTTCACGTCGAGTAACTCAGCAAAGGGAGCTCCCAGGCGGTCCACCGCTCGAGGCTCCTTTTGGTCCCAGGGTCGCAAGAGTCCACAGGCCGGAGCGGAGCGTTATGACATGTCGTTGCAGTTGTCCGCCATTGACCTGCTTTTCCTTTACGTAACCAGGAACAGGAAGGAGGGCTAGGGGCGGTCAATATCCGCTTGGGCGATCAGATCAAGAGTCGCCTCGACCGTGCGGCCGGCCCGCAGCCCTGGAGCAGACGTGATGGCGACAGCGGCGAGCGCGAAGGTGTGAGAGACGAGATCCTGGTCGCATTGGGCTCTGGCAGGTCCTTCTTGTACTCCGGAGTACTCCCCTCGCAGCGCGTCTGATAAAAAGATGTCAAGACAAGAATCAGCCCCGGCCAGCGGGACCAGACGCACCCCGTCCAGCAAGCACTCAGCCTGGAGCTTGTCTTGACGGTGGGGTAGATAGATAGATAGCGAGATAGAGAGAGATAGTAGATAGCCATGCCAGACCAGACCAGACCAGTGGCAGGCTGCTCTACAGAGGCCCTGGCCCTCTCCTGCCCCGCAAAAGCCGGACGCGCATCGAGCTGCCGGGGCGTATCATCTGCTGCTGCATTGGGAGTGACGACTGGAGAATATTCCAGTTCAGTTCGAACCTACTTGTTAAATTTTTTTTTCCCCTTCTCCTTTGATTTACCATTTTTCATCTACGCAGCAACGCCGGCAGAACTACTTATATGCGTGATGGAAGGCAACCCCCACGAGCACGTCGTCCAGCAGCTGCCCTCGCACTTGCCATTCAGCGTCTTTCGTGCCTGCCATCCCACGCTTCATCCAGCGACCATTATTCGCGGCTTCCTTTTCCCAACGCAGTCCTTTAAGGCAGGTGGGGCATGCCGGCAAATTTTGACGGCCCTAACCCGATCAGGCAATCAGTGGTCACGTTATACAGCCATCGCGACAAGCTTATGTCGATAGATCACCTGACCAGGACAAGAACAGACCGCTTATCTAGAAAAAAAAAAAGTTGTTCGACTGGTTCTACAACAGCCAGACCTGTGTGAAGAGAAGGAAGAAACTGATTCCATCACTGATTCATTAATATTAATTGTGTGTGTGTGTGTGTGTGTGTGTGTGTGTGTGTGTGTGTGTGTGT